GCACACACTGGAATTCTATATATGAGCAGAGTTGGGGAGATGCGATGCACACAGAGTTCCTTATAGTCTGGGCATACACACACACACACACACACACACACACACACACACACACACCTTCTCCAAATGAGCGTACTCTTTCCAGTGGAGCTGCCAACCCAATCTAGTCACCTCTTCCTTACACATATAACCCACTGAGAGCCCCATCCTAAGGCACAGCCCCTTCTCTTCTACCTCTTTCTGAGTTTGTAACCCTATAAAGGATGTCTTTATCTTTTTGTCTTTTCTTCTGTCTCTCCCTGCCTCTGTCTCTCCCTTTCTCTCCACCTTTAGGCACCTTAGTCTCTTTCCAGCTGAGACCCTCTCTTCACCAGCTTATGCACTGATCTTTACCCCACAAAGCCCCTGACCCAGGCTCCAGCTCATGGGCACCCCCATCTGGAACAGTCTGGCCAGGAGGAACAACAATCAAATGGGTAGAGAAGGGTGCCTGCTGTCAACACTCAAATGCTTAACCCAAAGAGGGCAGGCCTGGGGGACAAGTAGGGATCTGCACAGCATGTGGTGCTCTGCCAGGCCTGGAGGGAAGGGAAGAGTCCACAACCATGTGGCTGGAGGAGGACGCATCTGCAACACCCCCACCACCTCTCTGGATTACCCATGGTACACATCCACCTTCTTTGTGGCTGTGTCAGTCATCCCAGAACCAAGCAGGAGCACCTCCAGAGCCCACACATCTTCGGGCACCTGGTACTACATTTCTTCCCCTTTTTACAACTTCCGAACAATCACCTCTTAATCAGAGAATCAACTGACTGGCTTCTGCTTGGCATCCTATCTCTCCACTTCCCAAATGCATGCAGGTGGCAGCCTCAGAGTGCACCAGGGGCACCCTTGGCCTCCCAACAAAGGTGTTCCCAGCTGCTAGTTGACTGACATGAGGCAATTTTAGAGCCCTCCCCTCAATTTTAGGCCCACTATTGCCTCATCCTATTTGAGCAGAACTCTCATTTGCAAACACTCAACTTTAGTCCACATTCAAAACCCCTCCTCAGCACCACTATTCACCACTACTCGTTAGAACAAGCCCCACTCTCTGCCCACCTTAACTGGGATGTCAATTTTCTGTCACACACCCTCCCAATGCCCTCTTGTTTCCTTTTGCCCTCATCCCCCAAGATCCTTGAGACTCACACAGAGAAGCCATCTCCTTGGGGAGGTCAGGCTGGCCCAGGCCCCGGAAACTAGGGCTCAGCATCTCGAATGGTGGAGAACCCCTGAGTGCCCCTGGGAAGGCAAAGGGGAAGCCTGCTCCTGGGTAGCCAGATCCAGGCCCAAGGGCACCAGCTGCAAACAGTCGCTCCTTATTGGTGGCCATGGCAGCTGCAGTGTGGGAGTCCCCTGGGGTCTGCAGCGGGCGGGGGTGGCCTTCAACCACAGCCCCCGCCCATGCCCACTGCCCCAGCCTGGGAGGCTCCGTGCCCGCCCTGCCTGGCTGGCCCACGGGATTCCAAAGATCCTAGAGAGAAAGAGAGGAAAAGAGATGACAAAATGGTCACTCTGATGTTCTAAGTCCCATGTCCCCAACCCCCTAGGTAGGTCTATACTGCCCTAGCTCTCCAGATTAGCGCTAGGCAAAGGTAGACAAAGGTTTCAAGATAAATGGTGGTATGAGGATGACCTCCTCCTCCTCCTCCTCCTTCTCCTTCTTCCTCTTCCTCTTCCTTTTCTTCTTTTTCTTCTTCCTCTCCTCCTCCTTCTTTTTTTGAGTACCACAAATTGAACTAAGGACCTTGCACTTGCCAGGCAGACACTGGGTCTGAGGAGTTCTAATGGAAAGGATGTCTACAGAAGTGATTAAAAACACCACAACTGGGATAGACATCAGTCCTGTGAAGTAGAAATTAGGACTCTTTTTTTTTTTTTAGGAAACTGAGGCTCACTGGCTTAATGTCACATGGTTATAAGCAGTGAGGCCAACTTCAAACTCTTGGGGTAGAGAGTGTAGTTCTGTGTAGATCACTTGTTTGGGATACATATGGCCTCATTCCTCA